AGACCCACTCAGAAAATAATCAGCCTTGAAAACTAGAAATCAAAAATGCCAGCCACAAGCAGCCAATTCTTGCCTTATCTACTGTCACAACTCTTCTTAGTGGCTACTCTGTAAGGCAGGTACAGCAGGGATAGGCTGATTGGGGCTGGCATTTTTGTGCTCTGGTTTTCAAGGTTATTTTCCAACTAGATCTTATTTTCAAGGAAAAAGGGTAACACATTTCCAGAAAAAAAATATACAAAGGCCCAGATTTTACTATTACAGGTGTGTTCAAAGTATGAAAGAGATTTGTGTCAGGTGGGTTGGCACACCTTTGTAACCCCAATCTTTAGGAGGCCATACAGCAGGAGGATCACTACAAATTTGAGGCCAGCCTCTGTTACATAGTGAGTTCAAGGCCAGCCCAAGCTATATAGTGGAATCCTGTCTCAAAAAAACAAAGAGGGAAAAAAAGAGCTTTGTTTATTCATTCATGTGTTTTTCCATTAATTCATAATATTTATTAAGGTACTATGTGTCAGGAATAGGAGATATAAAAGATGATATAAAATAGGATTGTTATTCTCCTAGAGACTCTGTTTTAGTAGAAGAGGAAAATTAGTAAGTAACAAAACAAGTTAATTTCAGCTTATGATGAACTGATCTGAAGAACATTAATAAAGCGGTATGTGAGGAAGTCTACATGAGGTTTGGGGTCACGAAAAGCCTTCTAAGAAGATAATACTGATTTTAGGTAGTACAAAGTCTGCCTCCTATTTCCTTCCAACTAAAACCATTCTTCTTTCTGACCAGAATCTTAGGAGCAGGTAGTAAATTCCTTATTCCTGCTATCGTTGGTACAAATAAGAATGAGAGGGCTCTCAATCTCTAGTATAAAATGGCCTGGTCTAGAAAAATCAAAGTAAACAGAAGAAAACCCATGTGCAAAGCCGTGAGTTCCCCTTTCTTAGGGAAACAGTAGTTACACTGATAATGTCTGGGACAGTAATGATGTGGTGGTCTTTACCGAAAAACATACTCTTAATGCTGTTTTCTAATATGAAAGGAGTAGTGACAAGGTAAGATATAAACTCTAGGTAGAAATCTGCTATGAAGCATTTTAAGTGCAATTTTTCAAATTAAAATATTCCTTGTTAAGAAACATAGAACAACAAACATAAGTAAATGTTTTTCTAAATTACTATATTTCTAAATTTCTTTATTACTATATGACAAGTGTTAATGTCTCCACTCTAACTTAGGAGATCTTTGGAGCAAAATACTACTCAAAGCTGTTTCATATTTCTTGCCAAATAGCACACATATAAATAACCAGATATTTAACAATTTTTCAGTGGTTTCTCCCTAACAGGAACCTAAAGACAAATGCATCAGAGAAAAGACAAAGAGCCACTAAATATTTAAACCAGAATACTTTCCTTCTAAAAACAAGCAAAGTGAAGCACAAAAAGGATTAATGACGAATGACAAATGGGGAAAATTAGGCATACAAACTCTCAACCTCGGATCCAATGTTTTTCAAAAGCAGAGAAGCAAAAATCAATTTAGCTTATAACTAGCACTTTTCAAAAATCAAGATAAGCAGAAACCATCAGACTAGACTATATAGCGCCTCCAGCCAATTACCATTTCTCAAGCCAACTGAACCAGACAGAGGCGAGATTGAGAACTGGCACCCAGCAGCCCAAGAGCAGCGCAGTCTGAGCTGCCCTGAAGGAAGTGAACACACCTCTTCTCTTCTGTAGGTTCCTGAACTGTCATACGGAACTGTCTTAGGTTCTATACAAGAGTGCCAAGTGACTGAGGACCGAAACGTTAAACCACAACCCAAAATAAACCTTCCTTCCTTATAAAAAAAATACAGTGTACATTCTACAGATTTTGTTTTGTAAAATTTTTGTTTACCTGTTTTTACATACACATAAACGCATAATTATATAACTATAAAGTCTAAATTAAAAAGATCTCTTGCTATGGGTCTCAGTAAAAAGTTTTTAAAACACTGCATTTCATGCTGTCACAAAGCACTTCCTTCTATTTTTTTATGCAATCATTTTAACAGCAACATTAAAAACATTAACAGATGGCTAATCCTACCTTAAAAATCTCTCATTCAAATCTCATTTTTGCATTTATTTAGTGCTGTGTTTTTTGTGGTATTATGACTTAGAGCTAAAAAGTTCTATCAACAATGGCAACAACTAGTAAGCAGAGCAACTCTTACTCAAACATTACTGCCTTAATAATCACTACTCGTTAGACTCCAAGGAACTGACAGCTAGAGGCTTACATTTCTTAGAAAAGTCAAGAGCAACTGGGCATCATAGTGTGCACCAGTTCCAGCCTTGTGGCAAACTGAAGCAGTCAGATAACAAATTCAAGCCCAGTCTGGCCAACTTAGTCACTTAGCAAGACACTGCATAAAAAATAAAAAATAAAAAAAAAAGCAAGAGGATGTAGTTCAGTGGTAGGGTTGGGTTCAGTGGCAAAAAGTGGTTGACTAGTATTCTAGAGGCACTAATTCAATCCCCACTCTCAGAGAAGGAGAGAAGACAGAAGGTAAGAAGCACATTCACAGAGCCCGAGGGGCAGACAGTTCTCTCCAAAAAAAGGCTCAGAAGCCCTCTACAGTCTTGCTCCAGAAATGTAATTTCAGGGGAAAAGTCCATTCCTAAAATATTTTCTCTACATAATACTGCCTAAGGCTAATATCTGGGGAAAGAAATTTAACGTAGGACACAGGCATGTACTTCATAATTAGATCTAAGATTTAAAATGCCTTGAGCCTTGGGATATAGTTACTAGGTTCAATCCACAGCACTAAGAAGTAAAAAAAAATTTTTTTAAATCCACTGCCCTAATAGAAGCTATACTAGAATTCCTGCTAAAATATACAAATATCAATCTCAAAAAATGAGATCATTTTTAGATGGAATCTTTGGATGAGGGAGAAGACAATTGCACAGAAAATTACAAAAATAGATAAAAGAAGGGTAAAGTAGGAATAAAAATAGAAAATGTTACAGCTCAAGGAAAACTAATTGCTGTGCTACAGAAAGAGTTTAATCTAAAGTATATTATGCAATATTAGATACTTCAGTCACAAAGTCTCACTTGCCCACAGCTTCAGCCAATCATGATTAGCACCATGTGTTCCCAACCTCCCCTTCCACAGCTAACTAGACTGGCACTGGGCATCCTTGCCAGCAGCTATCTACAAAAAGAGGCCTCAAAGGAAACCAGGGTTAGCAGAAGATGCTGAAGAGAATTCACAAAGAGAAACAATGAGCTGGGTTAGGGGACTGGCAAACTAAGGTTATAGCAAACACAATAGATAGAGACTATGAAAAGAGACAGAGTAAAGAGAAAGAGAGCTACACATGTCAAAAATGCAAATAAAACATACACAGCTCCTGCAAAAGGGGGCTCTAACTGGATGGTAGGGATGCTGGTTTGGGGCAATTTTCCAGTTCTTTCAAGTGTAACCCCTTCCTCAAAGTGGTCTAAGAGAACTATATGACCTGGAGCAGGAAAAAATCCTTGAACACAAATGTGGGATCAAAATGGTTCACATCAATTTTTTCCCCGTGTTCAAAAGAACCTTTAAAAACCCTTAGCATTGAAGGTCTGAGCTAGAAGAGTCCTTAGAATCAGATCAATTCACTATTTTAGAGACAAGGATATGCAGGACCACAATGTAACCCTAAAGATACACAGAGAGCGGCAAAGCTGGCACAAGGACCAAGGTCTTATATTTCCATAGTCAACATTCCCTATCCTATGCCGTAAACAGCAACAAACATTTTCCTCCAAATAAGTATTTTTGCCACGTTTTAAAATGAATCAGAAATCTTTATATGCATATATACACATATATGTATATATATGCATATATATATATATGCATTCTCTTAGAATTTAAGTTTTCCACTTATTTTACTCTTAGGCCCTCTATTGTCCCTATAAAATACATTCATTAGATTTCTCCTTCTGTTCTTCATATAAATGTCTTTCAAAGTCACCTGTCACTAAAGAAATTACACAATGTCAGGTCCACTGGCCTCTTCTTCCTACAACTGTGCATTTAAAAGCAGCATTTACTCAAAACATGTTACTTCATATTTACACAATAGTGTATGAAATCTAAATAGTACAGTACAGTCACTTTAAATGAAAAATAAATTTCAATTAAAGGGCATAAAGATTTCCCCTCAAGGGGAAAAAAAAAATCACCAGCGTCAATAGAACTGAGGAGAAAGCAGCGTGAGAATAATCGAAACTGAAATGGGACTAATGTGCATTTTTTTTCAAGTCATTCCTTATCAGATCTATTGAATACATTCAATCTGTTTGAGCACAAAAACTGCAACTTGGAAACACAATTCCCAAGGGAGTAAAAATCATAAACCGGTGCGAAAGTGTAGTGGAACACAGGAAAAAGTTGACATAGGGTAAAGACAAAGATGATGAAGCCCCTGACAGACTGCAACCACTTAGATGCTCACAACACAGTTAAGCCCCTCAAGAATCCTCACAGGACGCAGCTTGGGGCGGAGAGGTGAGTAAGTCCTTGTACAGTGTCCATAGAGCTGATCCCCAGAAAAGCAGAGTCATCAATTTCCTAAGAACATTCTCAGCCATCTTAAAACAGCGGATATTAAGAAGGCATATTTTAAGAAACTACTTAGGGTTAAGGTGAACAAAGAACAAATTTATAATTAACATACAACTTATGGTGCTAATGATCAAACAAAGCAAAGTATAAGAGTTCCAAGTCCAGAGGGTATTTGGGTCCTGGTTAACGGAAAGTATAGGATTCAAAAGATCTTTCCAACCAATGAAGAAATTAATGGTGCAGTCGGTATTTCTTAATTCTGACAACTTAAAGCTCTGTGTTCTTATCCTCGCCTGATGGATGAGGAAAATCAGGCTGAGAGCGTTTAATTAATCAAGAACACAAAAGCGGGCGGCCAGAGAATCAGGGTACGAACCCCGCATACCTGAGCCCCTCTTCTAACCGCCACAGCCAACAAACGACAAGACAGTTTAAGTTCATTCCTGCCGGTCACCAGGGAATGAATTCTGAAAAGGAGTTTTTAAAGGGCATTTGACTTCCTTTCTCTCCCAAAGTAGAACGAAAGTGAGCTGTCAAAACAGAACACGAAGTGAGCGCGGGCGCCAGGCAGCTCTACGTCCCCGAAGCTCGGACTGGCAGCTCCGCTCGGTTACCGCAGCCCGAGCCACGCTCGTCCTCCCGCGCCCGCCCCGGTCCGCGACGGTCGCACCGGAGGGCAGGGACAAAGAGCCCCGGCGGCCGCTGCGCCGTCCGACCCCGGCCCGGTTCCGCTGTCGCGGAGGGCGGAGTCCGGGCGGGGGGCGCGGCACGGAGGGCGGACGGACGGACCCAGAGACGCCCCCTCCTCCCCGCTCGCGCCCGCGCCCGCGCCCGCGCTCGCGCCCCCTCCGCCCCCTTGCCTGTGGGCTTCCTGTCGCGGTCGCCGCCACCGCGGCGCTCCTGAGTCCAAGCGGCGCAGCCGAAGCCGTGGAGCGGGCGTCAGCAGCGTCTCCTGCTCGAGAAGCAGCCAGCAGGTCGGGATGGAGAAAGGCCAGGGGTTGAGAATCAGGACGAGGCTGGCTCCCGGCATGCGGAGATAGTATTCTCCTCGCCCCTGGCACTCCGCTTCCGCTCCGCCTCCCGGCCCGGCCCTTCCCCCACTTCGGGGGCCGGCGCCCGGCGGCATTGTGGGGAATGTAGTCTCTGCGGGAGGCAGCGGCGGCACGTGCTCGCACCTGCCCCACTAGGACTCCTGGTTCGCGAGAGCTTGACAGCCTGAGAAGGGCGGCTGGCTCCGCTCTCCACATCAAAAGAGAAGGTAGGAGGCCCACCTCATCTCCAATTTCCTGCAGGTGTTGACAGGAGGGCGCTGGTGTCACTTTGCCAACCTTCTGTCTTGAACGTCCCAGTGCAGTTATTAACTTGAAGTGGAAGTTAAGTATGCATGTGTGTCCATTATTGCCAATGAAGATTGTGAGCCACTGGAGTAAGCCAAGAAAAGTAAAAGGACTAAAGATTAAAAAGGAGGAAACATAATTACTTTCTTTAAAAATGATATATTATGCATATGCCCAATTCAAAAGAACCTGCAAATAAATTGTTACAATTAGCAGAGTTTAACAAAGTTAATAGATTTTTTTAAAATCTAGATTTGGGGTTTAAATGGTAGAGCACTTGTCTAGCATACCCATGCCCCTGGATTGTACATCTAACACCAATAAGTAAATAATTTTAAAAATTCAAGCTGTCATGGTATATGTCTGTGTCCCCCAGGCCTCATAAGTTTGCATTATGCATTTATTATTTGTTCATTGTCTGGTGCTTGAATTGATGGTGTCAGTGCACCGCCCACAAAGGAGTGGAGCCAGGATGTGATGTAATGGCAGGAAGAAGGTGTGTCTTGCTCTTTGCAGGTTTCAGCTTGCTGTTGGCAGTCGCCATGAACTGTGGCCTAGCCATGCCCGCCTGCCTTGGAGCCAACTGAGTGTGGACTGATACCTCCAAAAACTGTTCCTTTCCCAACTTTGGGCTTCAGGTATTTTGTCTCAGCGACGAGTAAAAAGTAACTAAGACACAAGCCAAGCCTAGTAGCTCATGGCTGTCATTCCAGATACTGGGGAGACAGAGGCAGAGGAATATGGCAAATTCAAGGCCAACCTGGGTAACTTAGTGAATCTCAGTATCAAAATAAAAAGGCCTGGGATTGTAGCTCAGTGGTAGTATTTGACTATCTTGCAAGAGGCCAAGGTTTAATACCTAGTACCACCAAAAACAAATTTCTATATGCCAGAAAAAGTATAATTAATTTTTAAAAGATATCATTTGTAGTATCTTCAAATATCAAATACCTGGGAATAAAGAAAAGCAAATCTATAAAGAAAACATTGAAAGACACCAAAAAAGACCTACATAAATCATAACTGTAAATGTCCATAGATTAGAAAATTCAATACTGAAGACAATAGTCTTTCTAAATCTAAACAAAATCTTGATAGATTTTTCTGTGTGATAAATACAGAAACTTGACAAGTTTATTTAAAATTTTATGGAAGAGCAAAATAAGCATTCAGGAGAACAAGAAATGAGGAAAAGAGGAGGGAAGGAGAAGAAAAATTCATGTTGTCAACTATCAAGCTGTGTCACAAAGCCATAGTAAGTAAGGCAGTATGGTTTTGGATCAAATATATCAATGAAACAGAAAATACTAATGAGGCAATAAACAATAGAGAACCCAGAAAGTCTCTTCCATATATGAGAACTTGATGTATGTTGCCATGGTGGCAGTTCCAAGCAATGCCTAAAGAACAAGTTTCAGTAAGTAGCTGATGTTGGGAAAAAAATAGCCCTACAAGAGGGTAAAAAGTGAAATTGGATTCTCCATGTTATTTATTCACAAGAAATTAGTTCCAGGTAGATCATACACAAATTTGAAAGGCAAAATAATAAAACATTGGATCCAGGTGTGGTGGCACATTCCTGCAATTCCAGCACTTGGGAGGCTGAGGCAGGTGATAGTTCCAAGTTCAAGACCAGCCCAGGCTACAACGTGAGCCTACAACCAGCCTGAACCGCGTAAACTAAGACCCTGTCTCAAAAAGAAAAAAATAATAGTAATAATAATAATAAGACATCAACTGTTTTGTTTTTAAAGATCACATAAGAGCATACAACTGTGACTTAAGGGTAGGGAACAGGCTGTTGGGGGGGGGGGAGGTAAGTGGACCAAGAATAAACTCAGGAACTTGCTTTGCCAAGCAGGCACCATGCCACTGAACTATACCCTAAACCCCCTGGACCTTTTAAAACTAATCCAAAAAACCCTATCTATAACAGAAAAATTGATAAATATGCTACATTAAAACTCAGTTTCATCAAATTACACCATTAAAGAGGGTGAAAGAGAAGCTTCAGAGTGGTATAAGAAATTTATAATACATATAACTGAGAAGCCTTGTAACTAGAATATATAAAAACTGCAGTCAGAAGAAAAAATATTGAAGCTGGACATGGTGGTGCATACTTATAATCCCAGCCCTCAGGGAGACAGTGGCAGCAGGATCACAAATTCAAGAGAAGCCTAAGGTAGCTCTAAGGAAGGTCAAAGCCAGGCGTAGTGTCTCATGCCTGTAATTCCAACACTCGGAAGGCTGAGGCAGAAGGATTGTTGCCAGTTCAAGACTAGCCTGGGCTACAAAGTGAGCCAAGGTGAGCCCAAACTGCATAGGGAGGTCCTGTCTCAAAAAAACCCACAAAAATAAGTAAATAAATAAATAAATAAGGGAGGTCAAGACCACTTGGATGACACAACCAGAATCTGTCAAAAAAAAAGAAGAAAGAAAAAAGAAAAGAAAATGCTTATTTATGTGTTAAAACTATAAATAAAAGCAAACAATTGATTACTATAAAAGTGTGATTAATGGCCATATCAGAAAGCCTTGTGAAGAGGGAGATGATATTGGGAAATAGCAGGTTGACGTTTTATAAATCCTCTATTCCTTGCTGCAGCTGGTGTTTACATTATTGGAGACTTATACTTTGTTAGACTTTATTGTTTATACATGCTTCCAAATATATGTTCTCTAATTTAAAATTAGAACTAGAATCAAATTGCCTTCATTCAATTCTAGGCCCTACAACTATTTGTACTGGGACCTAGAATTAGGCAAGTTCTGTAACCTCGCTGTTATGGTTTAGGTCTAAAATGACCAAGGCCTTCTGTGTTTGGAAAACGATTAGGTTACAGGGGTGTCATGGCTGACTTGCTATTAGACAGGGCCTTGTCAAAAGGGGGAAGTCACTGGGGGCAAGACCTGGAAGGGGAGACCTCCCTCCCCACCCCTCTCTTTGCTGTCTCTGCTTTCTGGCTGTTGATGTGAGCAAGCTTTCCTTGACCAACCCTTCTACCATGGTGCTTCTTCCTGGAGCCAGTCCGTCATGCAAAGACTGAAACTTCTAAAATGAGAACCAACATAAACCTCTTTTCCTCTAAGTTCTGGGTGTTGGGTTTTGTGTCTCAGCAATGAGCAACTGACTGAGTTGCTCACTAAGCCTACCTCTAAAATTTCAGTCGTAAGAATATTAGGATATTTGAAAAGAATATAAGTTGATGTGTATAAAGTGGTTTTTACTGTGCTCCATCCATGGCAGGTCCTCAGGAAATATCAGTTATTATTATAACCACAATAAAGCATTTTAGACACTGAAGCAGGTAAATCAGGAGATGGTCTTTTATGGTTATGGCATAGAGTATAGAGGTGAAGATTAAGTATTCAGTCTCAGCGGAACATAGTATCTGCTGTCTGGAGAGAAAAAAATTTGCATATTAATGGAAAATGTTTGCACGGTAGGCAGACACAAAGAGAAAGAAACAATATGGATCATGTACAAAATGGAATTCTCTGAACACAGATTTTCTTTAATCTCTAACATAATGTACAAGGTATGTACCATTGTTGCCTTCTGATTGAAATTTCTTTTAATTTTTTTTCTCCTTGATATAAAATGGATTTAGGGAAAAAGGGGAAAAAATTCTCTAATACTGCTACATGTGACTTTTTTTGTGTATGTGAGACAAGGTTTTTTCCTATCTAGTTCAGGCTAGCCATGAACTCACTATGCAGCCCATTCTGATCGCAAGTTCAAGGCAATCCTCTGGTCTCAACCTCTTGAGTGCCAGGAAAACACACATGCACCATCACACCCAGTCACATGAGACTTGAGAACTTGCAGTATAAATAATCTGAATTGAGATGTGCTGTAAATATAATGGATACACCAAATATTTGAAGACTTAGTACAAAGAAATTCAAAAAACTAGGGTTTTTAAATATAATCAATATTTAAATAGAATACATTATAAAATCAGTTTTTTTACCTTTAAAATATTACTACAATTGAATCTAATGACCTACTGCTATTAACTACTATTGAGCCATTTCCCCTTGTGTGGCTCAAATATTCATAAGCTGAATCTCGGGACAATTCTTCCTTGGACGAACAAAAACAAATTCTCAACTGAAAGAGAAAGAAATAATTCTCTATGACTTCAAAAGCATGAAAAAAGCAAGCAAAAGCAGTCATTCCACAGTTTCTCTTGCATTGTTGCTTTCAAGTGCACGCTTTATGGGAGGAACTATGTTTACTTGACATAAAGGCATTTGTGAATTTAAGAAATCCTTTTTGCCTTTTATTAGCCATAAATCAGCAAGGAATATGGCTTCTGGAAGGAAGGAACACACAGCACT